GTACCTGCTGTAACTGATCTGAGTATTCTGAGTTCAAGAGCCATAGAGGAGCCATGCTGTGAGATGCAGTATGGACAGGTCAGGATAGGTTTGTTTCCCCTGACCCAGAGTGATCATGTCATGTTGGAGAGAAAGGCCTTACATCCTGAGCAGGAAGGGCTACCTGGGTTGCCTTGGCCATGCGGAGGCTATTAGGATCACTCAGGCTGGGTCCGTTCTGATCTTTTGTACCACTTCAGACAGTAGAGGAATCAGGGGAAAGGCATAGCACAGAGGGTACGTCTAAACTACAGGCTTTTTTCGACAGAGGCGTTGTTGACAGATACCAGCACTGTCGACAAAGTAAGCCGCGTTTTTGACAGAGTCTAGATGCTCTCTTTCAAAAAAGCACAGTTTGCATGCAATAGCGCCTTTTTTCAACAGAGTACTACTGAAAAAAGGCATTATTCCTCGTAGAATGAGGTTTACCGCTGTCGACAAAACTGCCGTGTTCTGTTGACTTACTGTTGACAGAACACGGAAGTAGTGTAGACGCAGGTATAGTTTTGTTGACAAAAGCTCACTTTTCTCGACAAAACCCTGCAGTCTAGACACTCCCAGAGAGTCCATCCAGTTGATGAGAAAATCATCCCCTTGATATCTTATGCCTATGCCTGCCCTGGTGCAGAAGTTTATGCACTTGGAGTTGTGGGACATTGCAAACAGATTGATGGTTGGTTATCCCCATCTGAGGAAGAGGGAGCGCAGCACAAATTTGTTGAGTATCCACTCGTGATGTTGGGGAAATCGTCTGCTCAATGCATCTGCGGTGATGTTGTATGAGCCTGAAATGTGCATTGTGAAAACCCAGACTTTGTAAACACAGAATTGTCATTTGTGTGGTACATATTGCCTTGACGTAGGTGTGAGCCTTGAGGAGGCCATTGTTGAAGTAGGGGAATATGATTATCCCAAGAGTGCGAAGGTATGCTGTGACGATTGCTAGGACCTTGGAGAATACGCGAGGGCCTGTGGACAGCGTAAATCTCAGGAACCATCTGCTTGAGGGTTGGATTAGGGCACGAAAATAGGCATCCTATAGATCAAGAGCTGAAAACCAATCCCCTGTTGCGTTTTTACATACTTGTTGAGTCTTTGAAAACTGAGGATGCAGCATCAGCCTCTGCTTTCTTTTGTGTTAAAAAATAATGGAATAAAAACCTTTCCTTCTGTGCTGTAGGGGAACAGGTTCCTCTGCTCCTACGTGTAGAAGATCTTCTACTTCTTGATGAAGCTGCATTTCATGGGAAAGGTCCCTGAAGAGGGACATAGTAGGTGGGTGTGCAGTAGTGGGGGAAAAAAAGGGATAATATAATCAGAAAGGATGACATCTAGAACCCATCTGTAGGAGGTTATGGCTGCCCAGTGATGGTAAAAAGGGTGAAGTTGATTGGCAAACAATTGCTGGGGTGTGGATACCAAGAGCATGAAGTGTGAGATGTGAGTCCTTATTGGTTTTGCTGGCACACAATTTTTCTCCATTGAAGGACACATCTTCTACTGTAGACCGTATGTCCCTTGGAAATGTGGGAAGTGTGAACCAAGAAGCCCTGCACATCACTGTGGGAGTCGCAACAGATTCTGCTGTGGCATCAGCTCATCAAAGGCTGCCTGTAAAGCTGTGTATGAAATTGTTTGGCCTTCTGAGACTATGGCTTTGGACTGTGGTCTTTTGGTATCAGGTTATCATCAGCAAAGTCCATAAAGCTTCGAGTAATTCCTGTGCTGTTACAGCCACCATGGCATGTAGTGGTAGCATCGTGTGTGTGTGGCCCGTGCCAGACTGCTTCAAAATCTCCAATCCAGGCACTGGGACAGCATCTAGGCTAAGCTTGAAGCATCCACAAGGACATCTCTTGAGGAAGAACCTGAACTATTTCATGACCAACCTGTTGATAAATGCTCACCCTCATAAAAGCAAGATAATTTTCGCTTGGCTATTAAGTATCTGTTATCCACCTCCTCACTGTTCTGATGCAGACAACACCTGACATAAGACAGATTTGGCTTGGTAATTAATGTAGTTTTTCATCCATATCTCTACCTCCTTCCCCACTGGCAGGATTTCTTTGCCTGCAGTTGACAGTATACTGGTGCAGTGTTTTTAAGTAACTGTTGGCTTTGACATCATTCTATAAATTTATATGTTTACACTGAAGTTTGGCAGATTTCTTGATGGTGAATACAAACTATCTTTTGTTATTGAGACAGGAAAGATAGGCTGCCTTTGCCAGTATTAATTCTAACAGAAATCCACACCCCCAATTCCAATTTCTATAATGTGATCAAACAGGCTTTACAAGCCCAAGAAACTCATAGACTCATAGGGCTAGAAGAGACCTCAGGAGAGGTCACTGAGTTCAACACCCTGGTAAAAGCAGGCCGGATCCCAGTGAAATCATCCCAGCCAGGGCTTTGTCAAGCCAGGACTCAAAAACCTCTAGGAATGGAAATCACACCACCTCACTAGGTAATACATTCCAGTGCTTCACCGCCCCCCTAATATGCAAAGTAGACCTCCCCAACTGTAACTTGAGACCATTGTTCCTCACCCCCATGGAGAACAGTCCCTCTCCATCTTCTTTGGAACCCCCTTTTCAGATAGATAAAGGCTACTATCAAATTCCCCTCACTCTTTTATTCTGTAGACTAAATGACCACAAATCCTCAGACTCTTCTCATGAGTCATGTTCTCCAGCCTCCTAATCATTTTTGTTGCCCTCCACTGGACCCTTTCTAATGCGTCTACATCTTTTCTGTAATCAGGGTCCCAGAACTGGACGCAATACTCTAGATGTGGTGCTGAATAAAGGGGAATAATCACTTCCCTAGATCTGCTGGCAATGGTCCTACTAATGCACCCCAATATTCCTGCTAGCCAGTGGTAATGGACCAACCCAGGCATATCAGGTTAATTCAGGAATAACTCTGCCTCATGTCCCCCTTCATCATCAATTTTTTTGCACTTTTTCCTGTTTAAGTGCTGGTTTTAGTTTTCCAGTAATTTTGCTTGTGTGGCTTGGAATTAGAGATGAGTTCATGCTAAAATACCAGCTCTAAACACTGCAACCAGACCTGGATTTGGATCCGTTTGCTGCTCATGCTTAACTCTAAAGTAAACAAAGACTACATTTAGTGGCTAGACACACTATATCTAGCCAAAACCTTAAGTGGAAATAAGATGTTCGTGGGAAAGACTTGTATATTCTTTTTCACCTTAATAGAAAAGCAATACATATCACAGCTTCAGTTTCAATGGGAATTGTAGAAATTGGTCCTGTTACAATAGAAATCTGAAACAGAACTCTAACCCTAATTAGACTTGGTGCAGCTAGCACTACACCTAATAATGATAGGCTTCAGAGAGGGATCTGTGTTAGTCTGTTTCAGCAGAAACAACAGAGTCCAGTGGCACTTTAAAGAGTATAACAAATGTATCAGGGTATTAGAGCATAAGCTTTTGAGAGCTACAACTTGCTTCCTCAGATGCTGAGGGAGGGAGGGAGGGAGGGAGGGAGGGAGGAAGGAAGGAAGGAAGGAAGGAAGGAAGGAAGGAAGGAGAAGGAAAGAAAGAAAGAAAGAAAGAAAGAAAGAAAGAAAGAAAGAAAGAAAGAAAGAAAGAAAGAAAGAAAGAAAGAAAGAAAGAAGAGAGTGCAACCACAGTGCTAATTAAACCAGAATGGATTTGGCTAATCTCCAACAATGGTGAGAAGGTGAGAGCACCTAATCTAAGCATGTTTGAATGTGAGAAATTTCAGATTTGGATCTAGATTTCAAATCCTCAGCATTTGACAGAGTTGACATAACTTGCTCCTACGCATGGGGTGTTGATGGTGTAGAAGGGGAGATGCTTGTTATCTGCCTCTTCTCCTTGACTACCCAACTAAGAGCTTTCTCCAATACTGTATTCAGATGAATGAGAGGATGTGACATATTCCCGCTAACACTCACATTTCTGTTCATGTCACAAACTACTGACGAGCTATATCTCAATGACCTAAGACATATCCAAAGTACTGTATCTACACAGTCAAAACTCTCCCACGTCTGTGCTCACACAGCCCCTCAAACTCATACAGCATAGAATGATGCAGCAAGGAACCACATTATAAGCCACAGTACAAGATTAATTCCTTAACATTTAAACTGCTCCCTCACCCCATATTCCCAATTCCTGTAATGTCCATTCACCCGTCTTCCTCGCACATTCACACATAGGTCAAAAAAATTCCCATGTACATTTTTATTAGCAATATGACATTAATGAAATCATATATTTCTTATACTGCCCTTGCTTTAGAAACTTCACAGTTGTGGCTGCATCACTGAGTCACAAGGTTTTCTTTTTAATTCAAAGAAAAACTTCACCATCTTTTTTTAATGCTATCAACCCAGTCGCTTGACAGTAAGGATTAAAAATTGCTCCTTCTTTCTCACTTGGTTATTGGAAAGGCTGTGAAAGGTAATCAGTCTTGTGAAGCTACACTTTATAGTCTGCATAAAATGCCATGATTCCCAGTTCTCTCCCCAACCTAATTGAAAGTGCGTAATATCACACAGCTGGGGAAATGTAAACTGTAAACATATGCAATATATCACACTATCACACAGAAACTCATTATGAATGGGCACTGGGTGATCATCAGGACCAAAAGGGATCTAAAAACAGAATTTTGCTGAAGAATAAAACTTTTTTCTGTATAAAAGAGAAAAAATACACTTTCTCTGCAGCACAGGAATTGTATTGGAGGCAGTTCATTCATTTGGTTTGTGAAATATGGACCTTTCATTAATGATTCTATTTGCTGCTTTATGTAGACTCTTCAGGGGCACTGTTGGGGTAAGACTGCTCTTTGTTAAAAAATGTAAATCAAAAGCAAACCCATTGTACTTAATCAAGTAAATACAGGTAAATGTGGAACTGAAAAACCAGGCAATCCGCAGCCACTGGGTATCATTACCTGTCAGCAGGATTCTGTGGATGGTGCTGCTTGCTTATCTTTGCATATAGTCCTTCTAAATGCTCTCTTTCTCCTGGTTTTGTAGGGATATCGTGTGGGTATCCAAAGGTTTCTGCTGCAGGTGGAGACGATGGCCTGTAGACATTTGCTGCTGGGTATGCCTCCCTGAAGTGATTCACTCTGGCATAATTTGGGTCCATCTCATCATCATCAATATCAGGGGGGGGACTTATAGGGCTAGTGGAGTAATCAGCAAGTCCTCTTGCCTGCTTTTGCCGTAACTCCTGATGTTTTGCACCAATCCTAATTGTTAAAAAGAAACAAACAAGTTTGGATTTTCTCCAGCAATGACAGCACGCTGATGATGCATCAAACAAAATTTTAAAAACATTTCTCAGCTGTTATAAATGTAAACTATCTATATATTTCAGGAGCACAACTAGAAATCTCTAGGCTCTGTTCCTTTGGCATGCAGCTTTGTAATCATGCAAGTTGTCTTTCTGCAGTCTGATAACAGATTATTGCAGAGTAGGGTGCAATTTTTCACAAACATTCCTGATAGGTGTTGTTTGCGTATGAGTGCATACACACACTTTTAATTATACATAGATCTAATATTTTAGATATATAGCTCTACTAAAGAGTTGTGTTAAAAACAACACAGGCTTAAATAGCTAACTTAATCTTCAGTTTCCATCTAAATTTGACCATAAAAATATTATTGCTTCTTTGACCCAGACATATTCTTCTAAATAAATTAACTTGCAAAAAGTGGATTAAACATGAAATAAATGTGATGATGGCACAGTTGTCTGCAAAGCAGAAGCCAAAGAAAAATATTTTATATATATATATATATATATATATATATATATGTTACATAAATGGAAGACCTCATGCTTCATTATATAGGGGCTAGGGACAGAGTAAAACAGGGAGAAATTAATAGAAACCTGATAGAGATGAATTGGTACATGTAAGTGAATTAAAGACTATTACTGGCAGTGCTCCACTGTGATAAAGCCTTAAGTGGTATTACAAAACACTTCTGCTAATCAGTGCCATTGTGTAATCTGCAGGGAATAGGAATGGTAAAACATATCCAGGTAAATTTCAAACCCAAACTTCAATGAGTCAACATTTATTCCTGACAATAAAAAAAAAATACAATAAAGTTCCATGAATGTGAAACTTCTGTTAAATCTTCAGCTCCTCTTTAAGAGAGCATAAACAAACAAGAAGAAAAATGACAGCAGCGTGCTGACTGTAGTATGGAGAATACCCTGGAGTAAATGGAACTTATGGAAGTGTATGATGCAGGAAAAAATGCAAGGCAGAAACAAATATCACACCGGCATTGGTTGCTGTTAAAAAGTCAACATATATCCACTGTCACTGTATCTGAAGCACAGTAGCACTTGATAGTGAATGTACAGAAAGAATAGTAAGTAGGACACTACTTAATGTGGTTCAACACTGGTGACCACCTTGATAGAAAACACAAAAACTGTTGATCCATTCTTTCCAGATACGTGCAACCAACTGGAATATGTACCTGAGGATTTTTATTATGCTTCATTAGAAAATATATTTAACAGTGTTCTAAGTAATTCTTCACCAAAAACAGCTGGGTAAGCAATCACATCCTATTTATCTTTTGCAAAACATCAAATCTTTTCTAAACATACTTAAGCATGTTAATATGTACAGTGCAAACTTGGAAGACCTGCCTTTCCCCAAAAGACCATGGATTTTATGGGATAGAGATGAATATGATAACCAGACTTTCAGTGAGAAAAGCCAAGATGCAGCTTGTGGTGGACAGGGGTGTTACAGCAGACAATTTCTGATGGGTGTCATTGTTCCATCTCTGCCTTCTGCCAGCTTCCTCAG